CCCACAAAAATAGAGATTGTTTTAAGTAAAGAACGTTTTCAGCCTGACACAACCAGGGCCGCCAGCCAAAGCGAGATCCCAGCGTCTGCACGGCGGAGGGGAACGTGCTGCTGTACAGGGAAAAATTGACCATTTTCTGTCTCCCCGGAAGCATTAGATTTTCCGCACTCCTGGCTCGGCTCCCTCGCAATCCACAACTTTATCTAGATGGACTCCCAGTACACACAGCTCAGAGGAATGGCCTCCGCTTGGCTGAAGAGCTTACTATAATATGTACTCCTGTCTGTCTGTATTGCTCATAGTAGAAGATGGGGAGTCCCTCTGCACTCCTCACAGCATTCCCGGCCCAAACAGTAATAGTGGTGCTCGCAGTGACGATCACGGATGGCGCCATGCAAATCAACAGTGAAAGGCAGAAATCACCAGCACTCAATACATATCGTTTGATGTCCATTTAATCGGACCGGCCTTTTGGCTAAGATCAAGTGTAGTATCTGTGTAGTATCTGTTCTTATCAGTTGTCGGGAATTGAAAGTCTGTTGCCACTTTGAGCGGGGTGGATGGATGGACGGACCAGTAGGTTCCTGGCGTAATTGGTAGGGAGCCGGATGAGGTTCCAGGCCCCGGAGTTTTCGACCCTAGTTAATGGGTGGGCTCCGGCGGAGGGATCTCTGAAGGTGAACTATCTCCTGATGGGAATGGATACGAAGCTTGGTCGAGGCTAGAGGGTCCGGGGGCGGCAGAAGCCCGTGGTGTTGTGCCCCCTGGGGGTGGCGTCCCATGGGTGCTCAGGAAGTCACTTGGGTGTGGGAGACCCACTTTGACTCACTGATCACTCGGTCACACACCACATTGCAATTTTCTGCACAACGCCTCTTGGACAGGCCTTATGGCTAGTCCGGGGCAATTTTTTTGCACTCGGCCCCTAAGGCCTGTCAGCGTGGTGCACTGGCACTTTAGTATTATTTATGCACTTAATGCACGATTGGCTTTTTTTAAAAGCTTTTTGACCCACAGATGCGGAAGGTGCAGGTTCCTTCGGGGCCTATTCCTGACGCTGGGAGGAGATTCTGTGCCTCCTACGGGGTTCTCTGTCTCCTCCCACCCAGGAGGGGGGGGGTTTCTCTTCGGGAGATCCCCCTGCCTAGTACTGTGAGGGACCCGCTCCGGCAGGTCCCCGAAGGAAATGGGTCCACCGTCCTTCGGGTTGGTGGGCCAACAGTCTCAACCCCTGTCAGGAGCCTTGCGCCCCGGGGGGTCGGGAAAGTAGGTCCCTTCTTTGGAAGGACCTTGCACCCTTGTGCACGTTATTGTGTGCTGTGATTTCACGGTTCACTTTTTTTGTTCACAGGGGAAAGTTTGTTTTGATGCACGTCCACGGGCTTTAAAAAAAAAAAGTAGTCGCAGACAAAACCAACGTTTCGGGGCCACACAGGGTCCCTTCATCAGGGCGACAATGTAACGATTTGTAAGAATCTTCTCTGATACAATTGGCGGAATGACGTGGACAATGGCCGGTGTATGTACAGGTCCACACCGCTCCATACAATACAGCTGCATATAATCAGCCACAAAGAGTCATTAGACTCTCCAACATCCCACTAACATGTCCTTCTAGTCATTTGGGGTTGTTTAGAACTCACTATACCCTTGCAGCGCTCAACCATTCAAAAAGGCCCCATGTTCTTCAATAGTTAATTCAAGGGTTAGTCCACCCGAAAGTATTATTTCATCTATAGATGAAGTCAGGCGGGCTGAGCTACTTGCAGGCTTCCTTGATCTTTTTAAGGCTCCTGCAGCAAGATCTACCCAGTATGGTTCCAGCCAGCCCCCAGGATTGTAGTCCCCCTCTGTGGTAGGTAAGGAGCGCCTCAAAAACTTTAAAACGTTGGTTCCAGACTCTATTGGGATTGATAAAAAGAATTCAGCCAACGCATTTCGGTGGGATTGGGGCTCCTCCTCCTTCAGGGCTTACACATAGAACTGATGAGAATACTCTTTGTGATCACACCTATAGGTATTAACAAAGTATCAATGTTTCTTCCCGTAATATCCTCTCAGGAAACATTGATACTTTGTTAAAGCTGATAGACCCTGTAACTGTCTCCTAACCGGTCCCACAGCAAATGTGCGGAATTATCACGATGGCACGATATCTTACTGGTTCTATTTATAAGCCCCTGAAG